CACGTCACATTTTAATATTGGTACGGTATGCTTGGAACCTCGAGAGAGGTGGTACCATTTAAAGCGAGCCGTACCGTACCATTAAGTGGAAAAGTGCCACAAGTGAGCATTTCCCATAGTTTTTTATACTTCCAAGCAAATATACAAAAAAAAAAACAAAAAAAGACACGACTCAGTGCTGCCCTCTGATGTCTTGTCGAGTATTGAAAAGCAATTGTACTGTGCTATTGTGATAAAAATGTACAGTGCAGATGGACTGATTCGAGACATCCAATTACAGCATTTTGATGGATCATAGTTGGCACATCTACACTTGATTATTTGTATCTATTGCAGAATGATCACCTTTACACACACATTACATTCAAATTTATGGATTTGGCAGGTGCTTTTATCCAAAGCGACTCGCACTGCATTAAAGTGATTTATTTTTTATGAATTCCCTGGGAAACAAACCAATGAAATTGTTAACACCATGATCTTTGGTTTGAGCTACAGGAACGTATGTAATGACGCAATGATGCCTTCAACCTGAACAACACCTTTCTCTAGGACCATTAACAGTAATGCAGTCTCCAAGAGACATTGTGCAATGCAACATGGAGTCATTAATCTCCAGTGAGTAATCACACGCTCTTTGTCCGTTCCTCAACGCTCACACTAAATATGAATTAAAGCGGCAACCTCATTGACTCATTTCGCTCTCCATGTCAAAAGCTGATAAATGTTCTCTTCTTCAGTGCTGAGAGGAGGTGATCCTTCCCATGTAAAATTACCCATGTAATAAAACTGCCTTTACATAATACATACAAAAATTCACAGCTTTGCATACAAAGACAAAATGCCATATCTGTGTTCCTAATAAACAAGTCACTTCATGCATTTCACACAAGTGGTTGTGAAGGGCTACAGGGTCTGAGACTGCTGAGTTTTTATATATGATGAGTAATGACACTCAACAAGTAGTATTAAAGGTATAGCGGAGGATTTTCTTTTTCCGGGTGGGTAGTCTATACTATTGGTCCACCTAAGTGTCAATCATTCTGGTGATATGTTTATGTAAGGCCGTCGTAGGCTACGTGCTCATCCCTATGTAGTTTTCACTTTCAGGTGTATTATGTCGGAGTTACGGTTTCAGCCATTCCTTTGAAAATGGCTGAGGGTCGAAAGAGAAAAAATGTTTACTAAGTGTATGATAAGAAGAGAAAGGCCGCAGAATATAGAAACAAGACCAGAGAGATTTTGGGTGAATATCACACGCTGGCGTGCGCTAAAAGCACAGGTTGGGCTTCTCACTGATGCCGCAGTCGCGAAGATTCTACCAGACAGGTAAAGTTTGTCACGCTATTTGGAGAAATCCATTTAAAATCACTAGTAAAAGTTAATGCAAGCTACAATGCTAGCCCCGGCACGAGTCATGCACCGCATAGACACGGTAAACATCTCAATTTGTCTAAAGTAGCCTTTTGTCCAAAATGGTAAATGGTATCACGCTGAAATATTCTAAAATCTTGTGTGTTTATTATTACACAAATGCAACAAGCTACTTCTCCGTATGCAACTATGTATAAAAATAACGTATTAACAATGAGAGATATTAGTTGCTATGTAACGTAATTGCGATTTGCAAAATAGTTTCCTCAGAACGTATTTCGTGTGATACAGGGTTGCACATATCATGTCTTGAGTCCTCGGTCACTCAATCGATCAGTATAATAAGTAAATAAAACACGGAAGGGCATTTGACATGTTGTCTTTTTTATGAATGTTTTTAGTTAGTTAAGAATTTGCAACATAATTGTGCAAGGCGTATAGACGTTCCCTAGCTCTCGGGAGCAAGAGTGTTGTGTTTGTGCATGTGCATTTTTTTTTAAAAATTGGAGAGGGCGGGTCTTCTCTAAAATTCGGAAAGATCCTCCGCTATACCTTTAAGTCAAGTATGTTGCTGTTATGCTCATTGAGCTAGGTGAGCTCCGCTTTCCAGTACACAACAAGGTTCAGCAGAGTGACGGCGCTGGCAGTAGATGGCATTGAGTCTAAAACACAAAGTGGCTCCCTTGGTGCCAACTGAACCGAATCCTACTTACCACATCTCATTTGACACAGGAGCAGGCACGGTCTCTCCTCCTGTGCGTTATGGGCGAAAAGGCACACAAGGGACGTGCCTGCTTGTCCTGCTGTCTGCTGTGAGTAATGACTGAGAGCAGAGAAGATCTTAGGAAAAAGCACACGACTGGAAAGGGTGAATGGAAAAAGCAAAAGATTTAATAGGCGACCGGTCAACCTATTGACCAACCCATTGATACATCTTTAGAATCAGCATGTGAAGTTTGTCTGGTTTAAATGAACAGAGAAGGACGGTTGCACTAATGTACAGATATGCCGATATTCATCGACGGAAGGGAAAAATGTGGAAGGATTTTGACAGCTTTGGTTTCGGTGTAAAATAATAGCACTATATATGATTAATCGGTTAGCAAGCACAGCATAATATGAATAAAAGTACGGTCAACTGGTCACAGGGCCTGAAAGCATCTTGTATTACTCTAAAGTGGGGTTTATTTTGGAATAATGACTGCTAGACAATACATTCTCCCTGTTATTAGCAAATAAATTAAATGGACATGGAATATTGATTTGAGATCAAATTATTGTATTATGTGGGAAGTAAGAGGCAGTGGAGTAATACGAGAGACGGGAAACCAGCACCAATATGAAGGAAAGTAGTTGCCAAGGAGAGCTGTGAAATATACAGTTTAGCATCATTATACAAAAATACCTATCCACAGAAAGACCAATCAGAATTAAGTATTCCTTGGAGCTGTGTAATAAATAAACAGTGTTTTTGTGCGTGTGTGTGGAACTATTTCAAGACTGCTTACAAAATTTAAAAAAAAATCACTTTATATTCACAGCATTTTAAGGTCTGTGCAGAAATACAAACTAAACATGCTTTACTGTATATTGCATATTAGGGATGTGCCCGTAGCCGAATACGGAAAGGAAATGAAGCATTCAAACGAGCCCCTAAAGGGACATGGTGATGGGGGGGGGGGGGGAAGGAGATAGGAAGGACAAATATATTTCAATGATTTTACATTCTCTCGCAATTATACAGTTGTTATATTGTATACCATTTGCAGGCTTCAGAGAGCTGCTATCAATATACTGGGAATTGAAATAGTTTCCGAATTCACGATCACATGTATTTCGTGTATGGGGAGCGGCGGTACTGACCAATATTTTAAAACATACGTTTTTTGTCAATGATGCTCAGGATCTGTTGCGCATCAAATCATCCGGCATCGTCCTTCCAGTCATTTCCCCATATTATCTTCGCATTATAAGTGAAATCTGATGAACTGTAATGTAACCAACTACTACAGCACACCTAACCATGTCCCTTTAGGAGAGTCAAAGGGAACTAAAGCCCTTGACTATTGATGGATCACATTAATTCCGGTCTAAAGCTTAGACAAGATTTGTTGTCTTTTTGTTTGTTTGTTTTGTCTGAGAGTCATTTCTTTCTGCCCGGCAGACTTGACAAGTAAACCTGAAGTAACCCTTGCAGAATACCTGAATAACCTTGTACAAAAAACCTACTGATTCTTTTAAACCTAAAATAGGGTACTACTTTGTATAGCATTATACAATGTTGTGCAATAGAAATACAAATATATGGTTAGTAATTATCAAATTAGATAATTTTTTTTTTTTTTTAAGAAATTTGATATTCAATTTTATGTTGTAAAATGAGTTTTAATACTAAGCAAGATTTAATTTTTTTAGAGTGAATTTCAGAGATTTTAATACTTTAGGGCCCACAGATACCCAAGTTCTAGATCTGAACGGCTCTAAATCACACTATAGACTACAATGTGAAGAATGCATTATCAAATAATTACTTCAGCTCTCTGGAGGTTCAGAACAGGCAGGGAAAAACGGCAATATAGAGACAGATAAGAGTAGCACACAGATGACCAATATTCCTGCAAAAGGAACAAAAACTGCAATACAAAAAGCAAAAAGAAAACAGCGACCAGCTAGACCAGTGATGGCTTTGCCAAGTGGAATCATACATAATACATGCACTGTGCAAATGACCCCATATTGATTCAAATGACTAAAAGAACATGAACAGATTCTGGAAAAAACAGTTTGAGAAATAACAGCACTGCTGTGAAGTTCATCACCTGCACTGAGCAGTTTAATGTTGCTGAAGCAAGCAGGATGTGCTACTTCACCCCTCAGGTTATAGTTCCCTTAAATGAGCAATACATTAAAACACAGATGGCAGAAATATGGGTGCACATGCTAATCAGCAGATTTCTGTAGTCGGTCTATGCATTTCTTGATGCATAGATGTTGATTAATTGCTATACAATCCTACATAACACCACTCTACAAGCATTACTGAAACCTACACAGCTAGAACAACTGCCTTTATTTTTTGCCTTGTTAGTGCCAGCGGAGCTGTTAGGAAACGTATCCAACCGCCAATGCCTCTCATTCACGTCTCATTGATTCAAGAGGAGAGAAAGGTGAGTAACAGGACACATGGTTGTTTCTTTGAAGTTTCTTTGAGCACTGAGAATATTTGCGCAAGAATACACGTGCATGTTCATTCACCGGCGCATGCACATGGGAGCAGAAGCCACGATTCAGTGCGGCTGTGATTTGAGAGGACGGTGAGGATGGGCAGTTTTATTTTGGGCCTGTCATCTGGTAACTGACTGCCCAATCACGCCCGAGACGGCCTGTCTAGGCTGTCAGGCTGAAGTATGAGGGAGACAGAAGGCGGAGACGGACGGACGGATCGAAAGCACTTGTCCTTTACATATATTTTTGAAGCTTTAACGAAACCCCTTTAAAACACCATGTCATTTATTTTGTCCATAATAGACTATGTTTTGTTGCAACCTAATAACACAAATAGAATTTGTACAGTGCATAAAAAAGAAATAAAAACTAGTAAATAATAAAATAGTAAAGGAACTTACCAATCCATCTCATTACAGAGGTGACGATCTGGAGGTATTTGGTCTTCTGCGCATTAAAAAAGGTGAAGGGCCCCAAGAACAGTGTGAAGACAGCCTGAAAAGAAATAAAAATACAGAAAACGAGTCAATGAAAGCATAAAATTACGCCAAGGAGGAGGACAAAGTAGATCTCATAATATAGACATAATATGTTGACATTTAAATAACTAACAAATGTTGTTTTACATCAGAGTAGGATAAGCAACAGACATAAACATTTATCAACCTGACGTAGACAGACCAAGTGCACTACTAAATGGCCAAAACTATTAGATATGCATATTCTAGCCATAACTAAAGTGTATAAAATGGCCAGGGCTGCACATAACTTCATGAATGACGGGCGTTCCAGTTCTACACAATCTGAGGAGCTTTCCTCCGAGGGAAAATAATCTGCTCATTACTCTTATAGTACACATATAATTGCTTTTTATGTGCTTCTGTGTTAGGCACATAGATTCATCATGACTCATTTCTTATGAACTGCATTGGGTTGAGTGTTGATGAGAGACGTGCCAGTCTCTTTGATATTTATATAACAGACTTTAGCATCTTCAAAGACGGCTGCAAGAAGAACTGGACCTTCCAGTCCTGGTGTGGATATTCATGCAAGCAAGGCGTTTACTCTAGATCTGAAATGTCCACTAGTACTCACATTTAATCTACATTTGGTGTATTTCCCTTCATGTGTGGTTAGCTTACAGCATAGTTAAATTATGGCATGGTTTTCCAACACAGTTGAATAAAAATCCCCTTTCATTCACAATCAGACCAAGAATGTGAATTTAACTAAACTGGTTCAATTTGGATTTAAACTGCAGTGTGTTAAATTGTGTTTTGGCCATTAATCTGACTCCCTTGAAGTCAATGAAGTCAGATTATTGGTCAAAAACACAATTTAACACACAGCAGTTTGTTCTAATTAATACAGTGTACATTATTGATGGATGTCTCTCAAGCTGTGAATTGTAAATCATCATGACACCATTCATGTTTTATCTTGAGAGGTGAGAAGTGTCTTGGTTTTTGTATAGTATTAGTCAGATAGGACGAGGGTCAGATAACAGTCCATCATGATGCCTGAATGTCTGTCCTGATAAAAGAGCTGACAGAGAGGCTGCTAAACATCTAAAGCCCTGAAGGAACAAGACAAAAGAGCAGAAGGATCTAAATTCATCTGCCATTCCTATAAAGGGTTGCAATGGGACATGAAACAATACAGCAAAAGTTAAACCGTGAGCAAGAAAAGGTTTGGACCTATGATGATTAAGGAGAGATGTTGAAGATTTTCAAGACAAATAACGTCTTTAAGAGTTATTATAAGATAGATAAACACATAAATAATAATAAACCATTCATGTCAACTATCCATTAGCTATTAAAGTCATTATTTACATGAGGGATGTAAAAAGAATTGCACCTGAGAACAACCAATAAAGCGAAATAGGAAAACTGAGCAAGAAATGCACTTTGATAAATTCCCATAATGCAATGCTGTCTGCATGAGTTATATCGAAGTGCATGCCTGCATCACTCCCACCACACAAAAAATATACAACCCCCCACCATTTCATGATGGCTGACAACACACACAATCCTACTGATAAATATCTATTCCTGAGCAGAACTCCTACATCCCAGAAAGGCCATAAAATACCATATGCAATCTCATGTCAACAAATAATGAAACTGAAAAGAAATAAAAACCCTATAAAACATCTCAGTTTCTTTATAGGAAGCTAACACATCACCCAATCTCAGTTCTGATGGCCGGGCCTGTAGCTTCTTACTCGAAGCCTAACTTATAACATATGCCGCAGTTTCCGATTTGAAAAGGGACGCTGGCAGAAAGGTTGGAAACTTGACAGGAGCTCGCCCACTCATGCCAGGAGTTGCAGAGCGATAGTAATGGTTTTCCATTCCCTGTCCCATTCTATGAGTGTTGTTGGTGCTGCTGATAGTAAAAATGGTGCAACATTGGCATGCGGGTGCACAACGCATGCCAGGAAAGGACAACAGGAAGGAAGTTTGGCAATGAATAGGAGTGAAGGGAGAAATGGAGGGACAGGGCCAGGCAGAGAGGGCATCAGGGGAAGCAGAAAGAGCGAGAGCTGTGGGGTGCTGGGTGACTCAGACATGACATGAAGAGAGACAGAGAGGCACTGTGACATACTGTACTTATCAGAACACGGAGCTCTAACAGTGTAAAATATGCATGAACCCCATGTGTTAGCAAGCATCACTATTAATACTGCTCACGCTTGGGGTTAATGTGTAATTTATAACCTGAAATCAAAATAGATTCTATTCAGTGGCTTAATTATTATTTTTAAATAATGAAATAAATAAAAAAGCTTTCAGCAGTCCAAATATATTATATGTGCTTATATTACTTGCCAGTGCAGACAATTTGGTCTCATATTACTTGCCAGTGCATTGTGGGAAAAACTGTATATTAGTCTGCTCAGGTTGTATATTGTACATACTGTGTAGGCTATACTATGCATAAAGGGGAAAACACAATATTCCAAAAAAACATCCATGCAGAATATTTAGGATTTTTTTATTCCTTCCTTTAAAAAATGGAATATGCACATTTAATGTTGTTCTTATTAAATGTATTTTATCTTTCAGGATCAAAATATTGTTGCTGGGTAAACATCGAGTCAATTTCCATGCTAATTTTGACCTTTTGCTGCCCAAAAATTGTGGTCATTGGGACGTTTGGATATATGTGAATGTCTTCTTTCAGATGACTGTAATGTTCCCAAAGCAATATCAGATAACAAATTCAGCAATACTGAGCTAATTTAAAACCAACATTTGACTGAAATGAGATAAACCAAAAAATTAAATGAGAAAACGCAAAGGTGAATAGCTTGATGGAAGAGCAGGACTTGATTCATCACATCAATATGAGTGAAATGAAACCAACAGTCGATGACCGTTATTTGGCACCAAGAGATGCTGACAGTGTCATTGTAGAACACGTACAGTTCAGAATATCAAATCTCTGAGCAATTGAGATATTAGCATAACCATTTGAGTTTTCGAAGAAACAGAAACGGACCTCCCATCGTCTGTTGAATGTGTGCCATGAGCAAAGCCAGTTTGTGGTTTTCTTCTTAATGCACTCCCCTAACTTCATTTCAAGTGTATTTAAAACCATAGAATTAATTTGGGTGCCCTAACTTTTTCACATAACTGCGCACTCACGCATGCACACACGCAGAATATAAGGCATAATGACTGTAAGTGAGCTTTTTTTTAGCTCGTATCTGTCAGGCAGAAGCATCACTAACCTCCAAAATGAGCTGCAATAAACTGCCACAATTAAGAGCTCAATTAATGAATAAATGGATGTGTAACAAGAGCATTCAAGAAAGTGAAAAAAATAAAATAAAAATTATGAAACCGCAGCTTGAGCCATCCTTCAAATAGTAAGAAAAGCAATTAAAGCATTGTTTTGATTTGAGGTCAGCATATTGGCACAAACTGAATACTGGACTTAAACATAATACAAATTTATGATTTGATCCCATCAGGGAGTCGAGGCAAAAAATTATATTAAAAGCAGCAAATTTGCCCAGAACTCCTGGAAAGCTGAAAGCTGTCAAGACAGATCTTTCCTGCATACTGATCTTTACAATAACAGAAAACGTGAATATTTTTTTTGTCCCAGTGGATTTCCATATTAAGACAGGATGTGTCATAAAATCAATGCTGTATCTGACTCTTTGGAGAGGTCATTGGTTTTGTCTGCTTGAATCTGAGAGTAGGAAAGGGCAAAGGTTTTTTTGTTCCAGACATATATTTTTCCTTACTGGTCTCCATATCCATGGCAAAACTCTCCAAATAGAACTTTTCCTAAATGACAAATCCAATAAAATGGCAAATAAATAGTATGTAAAAAGAGAAATGAATAGCCCAACACATTTTTAGCCTGCTTTACATGCTTTAAACACTTTTCTTTGATAACAGAACACAAATGAACAAGCTAAATTGTACAGTGAACATTGATATTTAAAGCTTAAAATTAAGACCAATAAATACCAATTAGTTTCGTTCAAGACTCTTTAATTTACACACAACCAACTCAAGATTTAGGCTCAAGGAATATCTTTGAAATATGATCAACAAGTGTGTTGTAATGGGTCTAAGTCCCCTCACTCTCATTCATATGTGTATTCTAACAATAAATCACTGCGGAAGTGCTTGTCGTGAGTCAGGCGGTGTTCATTAAGGCTGGACAGTTGCATTACTCTGGTATTCATGGGTCAACAGCTCTCTCCTAAAGGCCTTTGGTAAAAAAAGTCCTTTTTTTTTTACAAAGAAACCATCCATCCATTTAGAGTCATTTGCAGCATGATTACACTGGCAAATATGGTGTGAATCAAAGCTGAAACCTTTCTAAAACAATGGGAGCCACTGAGGAGCAGGACTAATTCTCGTGACTTTGTAATACTGTGTCAAGTTCACAGAAGCACTTAGTTCTCTTATAACCATAGAGCACTCAAGTTTTGTCCAGTTCATCAGAAGCTAAATGAAATAGGATCTGTTTTTTCATCAAGATCGGGGCTGACATGACTTTCACCACATGTCACCACATTAAGTCATAAAGGACAATCCCCCTGGAGAAGCTGACACTACGTGCACATCAAGGGCACAATATGATATAAGGGCAACAATATAAGGGCAACTATATATATATTTATAGGTTAGTACTTCAGATGGTGACTTAAACAATAATAATAATAATAAAAGAATAATCTTCCACAAATTTAAAATCTAGTCAATGTTCTTTTGCAGATTTTAACATGTATTCCATCTGGCAAGCACTGAAGTAAAGCTCAAGTACAGTAAACAATTAAATTCACTGCCATCATCTCAAGAATTGTACTACAAATATTTGTGTAAATCTAAAATAGCCAAACAAACAGTAGCCTGAACACCTTTCAAGCCAACAAAAGTCACAAACACGAGGTATGAAGGTTAAGCAAGTAGCTTCGGTGCTCAGGGTGACATACGGATGGATGTTTTAATAATGAGACATCG